AAAGGCAGAGAGCAGAGCACCATTCTATGGTCACTACTGGAAAATCTGTTACCAACATAGGTGGAGACTGGGATTGTGTCATGACAAAACACAAGGTCCAACATGTTGCCACCACGAGTGGGTGTCTGGACGTGTTGCTGCCATCCATAACAATCGATAGTGTCAAGTATTTCGTCGAAGCGTTGCGGGCCGGAACTACTTAACCAATTGACTTCTGGAAGATTGAAGTCCCCTGCAATTATTTTGTAATTAGTACTAAACGATGAGGCATGTGCGAATGATTTAGCTAATAACGCATCAGTTTCTTTGGTTGAGCTTGGTGCTCGATAAACGCAGCCTATGAGAAGCTTGTACTTATCTCCTTGTAAGACGACCCAGAGTGAATCAGGTACTTCGTTCAGTATTTCATCTTCCACCTTACTGGCTACGAATGAGTTATGTATATATATGAGACATCCTCCACCACGCTTGCAATCTCTATTTGCACGGTGTACAGTGTAATCATCTATGCCTATATGCACATCAAGTACAGAGTATGAGCACCATGATTCAGTAATCAGAGCTACAGTAGGCTTGGCGATAAATAATAATGCCCTTAGTTCAGATATCTTATTGATTAAGGAACGTGCATTAATTAGCAATATCGTAAATAAGTCACGGGATACTACAAACTGGCTTAAGATATCACCATAACCTAATATTATTTCCCCCTGAGATTTTCTAGTGATGGAATTCTAGTCTTTCTTGCGAAAAGAAAAAAAGTTTAAGTGAAAAAAGATGATAATTTTACCTACTTATATAGGTTGAATATGAGTTAAACACAAAAGTCAAAGTGCGTGAACTATGTAGAAGGAAAGCGAGGGCTTAATAATAACTACTGTATTTTTGAAGTATACATTTAGGTGTCCTTCTGAAGTAGGGGACTCATACCATGTACTTGCATTCGGGGAGTTTGTTATTTAAACTTCAGCTTTAGGCAAATTTTCAACTTCTGTTTTTTTAAATTTTATTTATTCTCTTATTTTGCAGAAGCCATTCGAACTCAGGAGCCTTAGCAATAGAGTGCTGTCCCACAGATAAGGGTGGTTCTCATATGTCCCTACCATCATATCCGCTGACTGGCAATCACCACCCTCCCACCTTTTTTGTGCAAGGCCCTGGCAAAATGCTTCATTTTTTGTTATATCTATCTTTTAATTTCTGTTATAATATGCCACAAACTTTTCTTTTTTTAAAAAAATATTCATTTGTCAACTCATTCGAAGTCATGGCATGAGTGACTACTTTCAGAAGACCGTCATGTATGTTTCATCTGTTACAGCATTTTGGAGAGGAACAATAATAACAGTATAAGGAAAATAGACTATCAGAGCCTACATTTTAGATATAAACAAATGTAATTTCGGAAAACAGTGCATAATCGTGCAGCATTAAACATATAAGTAGTAGTAAGTTATAATATTTTGTTCCGAAAGATTTGACTACACAAGATTATAGTTATAGAACAGTAAGATAGGATTCATTACTATTTAGGACTCACCGTAAAGTTGATTATTTAGACTACCAACATTCGGGCCTTAATTTGCGTATAGGCAGACAGTGCTAACATGTAGCATTAAGCAGTCTCCAGAGACATTTTAATACCAGTCGTCTTCAGTTGATTTGCATCTGGAACTTGAGACCGAACTCTTAGCATGTTGAAATACTCATAATACCATGTTATCAGTGATATATGCAAAAAATGTTTTAATATTTGAATGAAGAAATAATTAAAATTTAAGGCTGATTGAGAATAGGCGACTGGGGTTGTGAAAACAATCATAGTGAAAGTAGAGTCAAACATAGAGATCACAGATTTCGAGAGCTAACAGTGAGGGTCAGAGGAGTGCCGTATTAGATCTCTGATTTTTAGTCTGTCACATACGCCTTCTAACCCGGTGTTGATAAAATATTTGTTCAGCAGAGATGAGAAGGTTTTTGGGGTAGGACTGTTTCTAATTTCAGTTGGAAGACGGTTCCAAATACAGCGGTATCTGACAGTGAAAGAATTTGATCTGTACTTTGTATGACAGCGGGGCACTTCAAAAGATGAAGATTTATTTCTGAGGTTATATTTCTTAGGTGAACTAAAAGTAAAGCCATTGTGGGGGAAATATATAAGCCCTTTAGCGATCCTAAATGTAATTTTTAGGTTAAACTTCAGTCGTCTGACCCATAAGGGTTCCAAGTCAAATGTGTTACATCTGTCGTAGTGGGAAATGCAAAGATTTTCACCTACTAGACGTTGAGTAAACGCCCTTTGTAGGCTTTCCAATTTGCACCTGTCTTTTACGGAAACACTGTCCATGACAGGAGGACAAAATTCAAGTAAGGGCCTTATGCATAACTTGTACAGCATAATTTTGGATTCACATGCTTTAAAGTTTCGGAATAAAAACCCAAAAACCTTTTAACTTTTGATACTTGTAATTTAACGTATTCCGTTAGGCTAAATTCTGGAGTGTATTTTAGATCCAAGTCTGTTGTAAGCGGCAGACGAGGAATATGATTGTTGTGTAGGGAGATGGAAAGTTCGGATGCAATGCCTTTGGAGCATAGCACACCACATTTTTCAACGTTAAACTTTATTTTCCACGTGTTACACCACAATTGAACCCTATCAATATCATCCTGAATCCTATCAAATACACATGACACTTCATTTCTGAGTGAGTGGCATACTATTTTGATGTCATCAGCAAATAGGAAAGGTCTGCCATGTCTAATAACGTCGCAAATATCATTGAAATATAACAGGAATAACAGTGGACCTAGGACACTACCTTGTATGACTCCACTTGTTATCCGAACGGGGTTGGATGTGTGGGAACCTAACCTGACCATTTGCATCCGATTGCTTAGGAATGAACTGAGCCAGCTTAACAAAGAACCTTGGATCCCATAAGACTGGACTTTTGATATTAACAGTCGGTGGCTTACCGTGTCAAAAGCTTTACTAAGATCTAAGTATACAATAACTGTGATCATACTGGAATCTTTCAGTTGTGAGATGTGATCGAAAAATTGTAAGTGGCATGTAGTGCAAGAACGTGACTTCATGAAACCATGTTGATAAGGAGTGATAAGTTTCTCTTGAGAGAGGAAGTCAAAAATGGCACTTTTCACGATCTTTTCCAGAACCCTTGAAATAACAGAAGTTAGGTTAATGGGTCCGTAACTCATGACACTTGAACGGGAGCCTGACTTATACCTAGAGGTAATGTGTGTGGTTTTCCATGCATCTGGATATGTTCCAGTTGATAGAGAGATAGAGAACAATTTAAGAAAGAGAATAGGGATGTCTTCACCACCGTATTTTAAAAAAGTTGAGGGAATCATATCAGGACCAGGGTTGTTTGAACTTTTAAGGGACGTGATTGCTTTCTTAATATTATCCAAAGAAAAGCTGATAGTTTCTAAAGTTTTTTGTGAACGTACATGGAATAGAGGTAGTGGCGACGTGTTGTCATCATAGGCATATGACCGTGAGAAGTAGGAGTTTAGAAGCTCACAAATCTTTTTAGGGTCAGTAGCAGTCTCATCATTTTCTAAGATGAATTGTATATCTGTTTTACGAGAGTTTAACCTTTTGCGATAAAGCTTACAGATTGCAGTGTATTTAGAGCTATCTTTAAGGGCTGCATTTTCTTGTTTGAGTAGAACTTTGTCGTTATTTTCTTTCAATCTGAGATAAATGTTCTGTATATTTACAAGACACGAGAAGTCATTTTCTTTGTGGTACTGTCGGTGCGGCTTTCGCAGCTTAGCCTTTACTTTTATAGGAATGAAATTCTTTATGTTTTGTCTTGGGCTCTCTTTACATTTAGGAACAAGTTTATCAAAGCATATAGTTACATTCTGGTAAAAGGCTATTAGGATAGTGTCTAGGCTGCTACTAGAAAAGAAAAGGTCCCAGTCTAAGCTTCTAATGAAGGAGTTAAATACATCCCACCTAGCTTTTCCGAAGCACATGAATGTCTTGCGCAGGGTAGAGCATTTTGATGAGTGAAGCTTGGTATCGAGGGCGCAGATTATTGTGTTGTGGTCACTACCAGGAAATGGTTGGCTGATGTCAATGGTGGATAAGGCAATGTCTTTCAAGAAAACCAAGTCCAGTATATTGTGGTTCCGGGTGGGCCTTAGAATACTTTGTGTCCACCCACATAATTCAACCGCATCTAAGAATTTGCTGTAGCGGGGAGGAGCACTGATGGGCTCCCATGAAACTTCAGGCATGTTGAACTCCCCTCCAATCACTTTATAAGTAAAGTTTAATTTCGAAGTGTAATGAGAGGCTGCAGTTATTTGACTTAGGAGTTCACTGTCATAGTTGGGTGGGCGATAGATGCAACCTAATAACAGAGTTTGCTGTTTATTTATGTAGAGTGTCACCCATAATGTATCGCATATATTAAGGTTAGGGTCATCGTAGTGCCCAGCTCTGCAGTCAGATTTAACATAGATAATGCATCCTCCACCCCGCCCAACTGATCTGTTCTTCCTGAAAAATGAGTAGCCTTCGCAGTGAAAGAAATCATCATTTATTTCACTTGTGCACCGAGCTTCAGTGATCAATAGTGCTGTAGGTTGGCTAATCAGTAGCAGGGATTGGATGTATGCCATCTTGTTTACAGCTGACCTGGCATTGATAAGAACTATGTTAGGATTAGCCGAGTCAAATCTTAGGATTTTAGCTATGTCTTGAAGTAGCTGGTGGTGAGATTCAATCATGGTGTCCTCAGACGACAATGAAATGTCTATGCCTGTAGATGCCCTAGGAAAGCTAGAAGTGCAGAGGGGGTGAATTAAATTTTCGTTTTCATGTGAGTTTGAGCGTAAAGAAGATTTGCTGTCAGAAGAAAAGGAGATAGAGGGTTGTTGAAGAAGAAGAAGGGAATTACCAGAGTCATGTAAGGTGAGCTCCAGGCAGTAATTAGACATTGCTGTATCAGCTGTCATACCTATATTGGGGGGCGAAACCTGTGGAGAGTGGTGACCATTTGTAGTATGTTTGAGGTCATGTTGTGAACCTGTATAAAAAATGGTAATGTCGTTTCAGCAAAACTGTTGATCGCTGGGTAGTCAGCCCTGTTGGGTGTAGGCATGTAAATAGGTGGAGGTGGCCTACCAAGCAAGCTCGACTTATTCGAATTGTTGCGATTTACGTCACCACTATTTGACGTTCTATAGTTAAGTGTATCGATGTTTTGGTTTGTATTGGTGCGAGGTTTTACTTTTTTGAACAGGTAGCTACGAGGTTCGGGTTCTGTTTTGCGGTTTTTGTATCTATTGGTTCCGTGGATATTTGTTTCTGGAGAGAGGTGTGGTATCGAGCTGTGAGCATGTGAATTAGTGTGTGGCACTAGTCTCTTATTCTGCGTTGTCTTTGTAGACGAACTGGTGGCTGCATTCTTCAACTTCCTGGAATTAAGACTACTTGAATTGGTGAATACTGGGTGTGATGTACTGCAGTTGGTCACTGGGGTACAGGGATCCTTATCAGAGGAATCTAGATCTACGGTCGATTTCTTTCTTACTGTTCGGCTATACACTGAACTATTTTTGGACCTTACATTTTCACGCAAGTTCGTTTCCGAATACGGTGTACTTTGTATAGAAAGATCCACACCCTTTTGCTCTGCCTCAACAGAAGTGTGGGTGCCCAGGGGTGTTGTAGAGGAGCTGGGATTTACAGTTTTAGAATAAGTCATTCTTTGGATCGGTGTCTTGTCACGAGCTAATTTATTAGTATGGTAACGTGTATTTTTCAGTAGTGTTTGCCTACTGTAAAAGATGTTAGCATTAGAGGACGAGTCAAATTTCAACACAAGTGGGCAAGATTTATTTTTATGAGACTTTCTAAGTCGATGGCAGCTGCACGAGACATTATTCATAGAGCACGCATTCAGAATAGTGTTTTTGACCTTGTTAATCTGGGCATCATCCGGTATATTATACACGATTATGTTCTTCTCGCGCACTACACGTTGATATACTTCAGTTGCAACGTAGTTTATCAGGCTTGCGGTTTGTGGTAACTTACTAGGTGAAGTACTATTACTGTCGGTTTCACTAGGTACTGCCAGTTTTGATATCTTAACTTCAAGCCCCCCAATAATGGAAAATAATTCTTCGATTTTATCTTCGCAACAAGGTGTAAAACAAGGAACTGGATAGTGCTAGGGGTCAAAATGTTTGCCGTGTAATTCATTTCGCAAGACGTTTTGCAGGTGTCTACGAGGCCCAGATCATTGTATGTAGTGTCACTATGTATACCATCCATGATATTGTTTAATACGCAAGCAGGTAAGGGGAGTTCAACGTCCGGACTTAACGTATCTACTGCAGCAGACCTGTGTTTAGTTGTTAAATCACTGGATTTAGTCTTCACACTTCCTGCAGGCCTATTCATTCTATTCGGTTTGTGTTTTTTACTGGGATTTGAAGCAGACAGTGGAGTTTGACGCTTAGTTTGAACCATTGGCATTTAGGAAACAGTTAAACTTCTTAAGTATAAGAGAATGAGCAAAGTGTCTGTAAGGTCCTTTTTAGGGTGTTAGAGATTTAGATTGTTTAGTTCGGTACGCAATTAGCAGTTTATGTGGATAATATAGTATGAAGACACGCTTAACAAATACTATAAATGCAAAGATGCGATAACAGAAGCACTTAAGTAGACACTAGCTATAATGGACAATTACAGCCGTAAAGGTTTCCTTAAATGGAAAAAATAGGACTAAATATTTAGTATTATCCTCGAGGGACGTATTGAAAAGCCGCCTATAGAGTAAAAAAGAGCTAAGGAATAACACGCAAAAAAGTAACAAAGCCTTCGAATTGCCGCCAGACAGGAGAAACTCCATAATAGTGCCAAAAAACACTCAAATGCAAGATAAGCATCAGCAGAGGCATGAGCAAATATTCAACGAACTCTGCCTTTCCTAAGATCGTGTGAAACATTTGTGCGACCGCACCTTGAAGTGCACAAGATCAATGCCCAGAGTTTCTTAACAGGGACTTCAAAGTTTCGAAGGGGTTCAAAGACAAGAAGCAAAGGGATTAGCGGGCCCCGCTTAGAATGAACCATAAGATTAAAGATTGAAAAATTGGGTCATTTAAAAAAAATACCAACAGTTGGGCGTAAACTAATCGTTGCCTACAGGGTTATAAATGACTACGATCATATTTCTTATCTAGAAATCAGGTGTCTCGCACTGCAGATGCAAAACATTGATCATGTAGACAACCTAGATTTGTGTAAAATCTACGCGAGGCCAGAAAATGAAATTAAAACCTTAGAGAACTATCGAAGAATGCTGTTTTTGTAGATTCGTAAGATAACCACGTCGCATCAGATCTTGCAAAAATTTAAATGATGCACCTTAAAATTTAATCGCCATTTCATTCCTCTATTGGACTTTCATTCAATAGATTCTTTGAACTATCATCGGAACTAATGAATTACCATTTCAGAATCTGTGCCCCTCTACTAGACTCTGAAAACTCACATTTATAAAGTTTGAAGGCAAGCAATTTTTGACTCAAAAAATCCATTACTGTTTGGAGTGAAATCAGTGTGAACATACAGGAATTTTTCAGATGCAGTAGTTGGTACATGAATGACATTTCGATTTCTTTCCTTTGTAACATTTTATGATTGATTGGGGAAAGATATTAAATATTACCAGTATATGTTAAATGGAAAGTAAAACTCAATGGCCCTTTATTGTTAGTATACAAGTACTAGTCAGAATACAAATAACAAACACTATTGAAATATTACCAAGCATTACTGTGTACCACACTACTTTTAGTAAGCCAAGGGACACAGTTGAAATGTAAAGTGTTTGACAATAGGAATATTAATTCAGAAGTCAGAAAGCAATCAAAAGAATTAGGTATAATGGCAACTTGGACGATGATTCAGTACACGTATACACAGAAACAGGTGTGTAAAGTTGACAAAGATCTTACTACTGTGAAAAAATAAAATAGGTTCAACAGGCAAGCAGAAAGTTAACCTTGAGCAACTGATGCTGTTGTATTATTTTATGCACAGCATTTGCTTGATGCGCACGCAGGCAGAATTTGTGTTTTAACAAAGTAGATAATTTATTCCGGTCTTTAATTGTTAACAAACGACATTTTTGCAAACCAAGAGATGACACAGAGTATAACGGCTACTATTACTGTGGATGGAATCAGTAAGATGTAATAAATGTACATATTTGTTGGGGAAGAAGAGACCGCTATACATCCATCATATCTTGCATTCCCAAAGTTTCAACATTCACGTAAAAACTATTCAGCTCGTGCCATTTAGGCCAGATAATGCTAAATCATGGTTTCAGATAGCTGAGTCTGATTTCATGGGTTCACTGATCGACATTCACATTTGTCGGCGCCCTACCATGGGAATTCAGCAGATGCGTAGCTGTACAGATGTCGAGTCCGGAGGTAAGTTACTCATATATGAGTTGCTTAAACGAACCCTCCTACTGAGAAACAACCTCACGGATCAACAGCGTCTTGTCGAAGCATTTCGCAACGTGGATTTAGGTGATCTGTCGGCTGTGGACATGCTAACAAGACTGAGGAATGCTATCGTCCGACGTCAGTTCTATGAGGGACTTTTCAGAGAATTATTCTTATCCAAATTGCCGCAGTCGGTACAGGCTGTGCTGGTGACAATTCGAGGTGTTATTATAGACGACTTAGCTGCTTCGGTCGACAAAATTCTAGAACTAACAGAACGGCCAGTCACTGGAATGTTCTCAATTACTGAACAGACTTCGAGTAGGTGTACTGCAGTGATAAAGCTATGCAATTGCATCCAGCAGCTACTTAGGTGAAATATACCTCGCAATTCACCCTATCGTCATCCGAAATCCCCTCAACGGCGAAACACACGTGGTCGATGTAAATATAAGTCACGTTCACTAAAAAACCCTAACTGGTGTTGGTATCAAAACAACTATGGCCAGGAAACGGAATGATGCAGAAAACCTTGTAATTTTGGCAATGTCTCAAAGACTGTGGGAAACTATCCCGCCGGCACGCCTTAGCGGCAACCGCCACCGTTGGCACTAGTCGCCTACTTTACATTCGTGATGTAATCCAACCAGACCCGATACTTAGTCGACACAGGCGCCGAACTCAGCGTCCTTCCTGCCACAGCAGCAGATCGACAGAAGGAACCTACCTTCAACTTACGGGTTGCAAATGGAAAACCGATTGCGACCTTTGGTAGGAAAAATGTCTATCTGACCGTAGGTTTACGCAAACCTATTCAGTGGATTTTCCTTCTCGCTGACGTCACAATGCCAATCACTGGCACGGACCTACTTAATCATCATGATTTGCTCGTAGACGTCCGCTGAAAACGACTGACTGACAGTACTACTAGACTGTCTATCAAAGGCATCACCTTCATGGACCCCAGCTTGTCAGCGGTAGGAAGAAGGCAATCTTTGATCCAACTTTCCAACCGATTGTTGATAAATACCCGGAACTTAATTGCTCGTCTAACGATCTACCGAGCATAACTAGCAATTTAATGCATCGCATCATAACCTCAGGACAACCCTTGTCATTTAAAGCACGACGACTCTCTCCTGACAAACTACGACTCGCCAGAAATGAGTTCGACCAAATGCTCACTCTTGGCATCATTCAGCCATCGAATAGCCCATAGGCATCCCCACTGCATATGGTAGCGAAAAAGGATAGCAACGATTGGCAACCCACTGGTGATTACCGGCGAGTGAACGCCAAAACAACCCCTGATTGCTATCCATTGCCTCACATACACGACTTGACGGCAACATTATCTGACGCAACTATTTTCTCGAAAATGGACTTGGTTAAAGCATATAACCCAATCCCAATGGTACCAGAATATATTCTGAAAATGGCTGTCACTGCGCCTTTTGGACTTTTTGAATTTCTACGTATGCCATTCGGTCTCCGGAATACAGCGAAAACATTCCAACATTTCATTGACGGAGTATTTCGTGGTCTCGACTTTGTATACGCATACATAGACGACTGCCTCATTGCCAGCCCGGACAAGGAAAATCACTTTAGACACTTGGACTTGGCATTCAATAGGTTACGCCTGCATGGTGTTACCATCAATATTCAAAAGTGCTAGATGGGCGTTGACTGACTCGACTTTCTGGGGCACACCGTTGACTGCAAGGGCATTCGCCCACTAACTGGTAAAGCTGAGGCGATACTGAACTTTCCGGAGCCACAGACAGTAAAAAGTCTTAGCACTTTTAACGGCTCGGTGGCCTGCTTAAATCTAGGGCTACCCAAATTTCCATTCTACAAATTGCATCTATTTCCTCGGATTTATTTTATTTTAATCACTTAATTATGTGTCCTAATCATATTGTTTCCTCTCGCGGTTATTTAAAATGTTTCCAACCGGCTGATTTACCGGTTTCTAACAAACTTAGGAAAAAGTTTCATGGTGGATGGCAACGAGCTTTAAAGCGTACTCCAATTCATTTGATGACCGTTCCTGCGATTATGAGCACAAATTGCAAATCTCTACCAAACAAGATTAATTACTTGCATTCTCTACTATACTCAGATGTGTTTTGTAATACTGCTGTAATTACTCCTCAAGAAACTTGGCTGCACGATTTATATGACGATAATTTAGTCTCTTTACGTGATTTCACAGTGTACAAACAAGACCGATGCAGCTCAAAGAAGAAGGGAGGTGAAGGTGTTGCCACTTTTATTAATCCTTAGTGCTCTACTGCCAACAACGTCTGCTTCAAATTCTCAAATGACAATATTGATTGTGTAACTGTTAAATGCCGACCTAAACACTTATCTAAGTATAACTTCATTCTTGTCACAAATATCTGAGTCACACCTT